ACAAGACGAGGAAGAAGCCGGAAACAATATGAGAGATTTGGTATGGCAAGGCATGGGACTGCGTCGGCAGAAGCCAGAGAGGCTGAGTATGGCGAAATGGAAACGCGACAAGTGTTCATGCTGCCAGTACGCGATATTGGTGCTGAGACTGCCGGTAGAGAAGAGCAGGAGAGAATGGATCAGATATTGATAAAGACAAATCACGCTCTGAGGAAATAAATGTGCATGACCAGGAAGCCTGTGAGATCTCTAGAGCGCATGAGCTGTGATGGGTGTACGGATGGGCTATTAATGGAGCCTGATGCTAGGAGTACAGAGGAGGATTGAACAAGGCCACGCATGTTGTGCCGTTGACATGCCACCTTCAACGGCAACCAAGTGTGTGATAACGCAATCATCAAACTGCTCGCACACAGGTATCCCTCACGGTTGTCTTTCCCCGGTTTCCTGTAGTCGAGATGTCCGCTGATCAAAAGTTCAGCCCGTCGAACCTGGTGTAACTACGACAGCTGTACTCCGGCGGCAGTTCTCCTTGTCCTCCTTTTCCATAGATGGTCGTATTTCTGGCGCCGTCGCGGCGTGTAGCAAGCTTTTTGATGGTATGAAGTCCTTTCTGGTGTATCGATACTTCTCTTGTCGGCTGACTATGGTATGTTTACCGCAGCTGTACGCAAAGTGCAGCCCAGCGATGGTAGTTTCTCCTTCACCCTCTTTTCCTATCCAATCTTGTAGTCCTTGTGCAATGGACGAACCTCGTAGGCGTTCCATTCGGTGAAACCCCCCACTGCTGTTCCTCACCAAAGACAAGGTGTTTGCTGGAGCTGGACGCGACGAAGCGGTAGTGTTTGCTCACTTATTCTTGCTTCAGCCGACTTGCAATTGTTGAGGAGGAGTACGGTATCGAGAAGGGCTCTCCGTCATTAGTATGATGATGATTGGTCTTCTCGTGCCACAAAACACGTTGGCGCTGGTTTTCTGTCTTGAGATATCAGTGAAGAGTAAAAGCCTCGCTTTTTCCCGACGCGTCGGACGCTGTTGTGCGTCGATGGATAAGCCTAGCAGCTGTGTTTCCATCGTCTTGCTGACCTTAGGTATCATTCTGCCAATAACTATATCTCCACGTGTGTCAATTTTTCTGCTGCTGCCTACCACTTCACTGTCAATATGCCATTCCAATTTGAGAAGACTGAGCGACTGCCCTGCCTCGTTCAGCCAGCGATCGTCTCCGCTCTTGATGCCATGAGCAAGGAGGTTGTGCCGCTACTGGCACCTACAGGTGGAGTAGATGGATGCCTGTGTTATTTTCTTCACTCGCGTTATTCCCATGTCAAATAGCTGACGCGATCCGGACGAGGTGGACTTGACGAGCCTCAATCCACCTCTGTGTATTGATGTGCAGTGAGCAGAGTGTGCATGTAGCCGTTGTTTCCCGTAGCAGAAAATAAGAACAGCMGTCACCGACCCCTGTAGGAAGATACGACGCTCCTGGGCCCTGCAGTCTGCGTCTCCCCTTACGATCGACGTGTTGGAGATGATGCATCGATCTGCCTTAGACGCGACGCGTTTGCTGCTCGTTTTTTGTCTGGCTCAGTCTCTCGATCTGTCCATTTGCGTGTCAAGAGAATGCGATTGACTTGTGACTTATCGAGGCCTATTGAGCCCACGCTCCCGCTCCCTGTCTTTTCCTCCATCCTCATTGTATATGTCGCCGATACCGACTGAGGACCTGGAAAAGCCCTGCCCGTTTGTCTCTCGCCTGCAATGCTTTTGTATCCTCTCATTACTCACCGACCAGTCCGATGCGATCGAAGCATTGACGATGACACTCTCCCAAGACTCTTGATATTTTTTTTCTGTACCCATTATGGTCATGACTCTGAGAAAAGTCAGAGCAATTCAACGTGATGCTCGTGCTCCTCCTGCTTGTACTTCCGCATCTTCCTCTCGCGCTCCTTCTCCTCCCTATAGCTCCGCTTCGTACGTTCGCGTTCGTGGTCCTGCAGCGTCGTGCTTCTTCCTTGGCAAGTTGTCAGAGTGTGAGGTGCACGAATGGCGGCTCCTTGCGAGGTATTCGGTGTCTGTAAATGATCACTCTTCCGCAGCACCGTCAGTCTCTTTGGAATGTGAAAAGAGTTGAATGTGATATTACCAACGCCTCCCTTGACGCGTGAAAAAGATGAAGAGAATCCCCATCTTGCTCACTTCTACACTTCCTGCGGCACTATCACTTCGCCTGAGTCGTGGAGTAAAACTTCCCGTTCAAGTTGTCCTAGTGAGAAGTCTATGCCTACCTTACATGGAATATTTGTTCATCGTTTGCCTATGCTTGCCCGCCAAGTCCGCATTTTTGAAGCCCCCCTGTCACTTAGGCTTACAACTGACACTGCTGCTTGCTGTCCCGATCGTTCATGTTTCCTGGCGCTACAGTGCCGTCGCTGGCTTTGACATGCAATTGAGTAAGCGTCTGGTCGCATATTCTCCTGAAACAGTCGATGTCTTGGAGGTTATACATGGCGTTGTGGAGTCTCCCTCCTCCGCCCTCTTCAGAATTTCCCGCCCAGATGCCGCAGTGTCTTCTCCTGCGGTGAGATGTGGTAGGTTGCAATGGAGTGTGAACTCGTCTTCTCTTTCGAGTAATCAACATCCGCAAAGTTTCCACGAGCCATTCTCCTTGCTCTTCGGATCCGAAACTCAGCAGCCAGCTGAGTGGCATAACACTATCGCCTATTACTTGCGTGATCAAGTGTTCCTTGCTGCAGAAACCTGAGTATACCATCCGCTCCGCCTTGTGAGGAAGTCCTCGCCTCAAAAGTTTGCCAGCGTGCTCGTCTCTTCGTCATATGTTCCTCCGCGTCCAGGCACAGGCGCGTGTATTCAGAACTATCCAGAATCTCGAATCTTCCCAGCTGTAGCGCCTTCTCTTCCTTCGAATGTGACAGATTGGGGTGTACCATCTTTGTCTCCACACGGAGATACCTCCACCTCCAAACATGTGAAGTTGTTGGTGCCTTTGGCGTGTCTCGCCTGCTCGTCCATGTACAAGCGCGTATAGCCAGCAATATCCCGCATTTGTGAAACCCCCTGCTGCAGCGCTGTCTCTTGCTTTGATATGCAAAAGCTCCGGGTGTACCATATTCTCCACCTCGCGAAGAATTCATCGTCCACAGATCCGCGGCGTCGGCGATGCTTTCATCGGCCATCCTTGGGCAGGCTCGTGTGTTCAGAACTGCATGTTGCTCTTCTTGGACTGTCGCTGTTGTGGTGATAGCGCCGCCTATCCCTCCGACTTGTGAAAAATCGGATTGTAACATTCTCTTTTCCTTACGTGGAATGTCCTTATCCATGTATCTGCAATGTCTTTTGTGCCTTCATCGTCCGCAGTAACCCCTAGCGATGCTCTGAGATCCAGAACCATGCTGTGCGCCTTCTTCACCCTTGCCGCTGCAGCGCCAGCGCCAACTCCTCTTTCGAGATGTGATTTATCGGAGTGTACCAACATCTTCTTGCCCTTCCGCAGAAGTCCATTTTCACAAAATTTGGTTCGGTTGGTCGTGCCCGCGTTCCTGGGCTATGGGCACGTAGGTGTTGCTAGGGCCAAGAAGAAGATCACTCCCTGCTGCTTCCTATTTTGAATTTGTGCTGCTACTGCTGCACTCTTCCTCCTCCTCTGCAGCGCCACCGTATCGTTTGACATGTGAAGGAACGGCTTGGACCATCTTCCTCTCGTTGCGAAAGAGTCAGTGCCCGCAAAATTTTGGCTTGATCATTTGTGCATTCATTGTTGCGCAAGCCAGTGTCCATGAAGACAGGAGACGAGACAACATGGACCTTCCTGCATGGAACGATTACAGTGCGGCGTCTACCATTACAACACTGGCCTACCTATTTCTTCACAGCGCCGTCTTCGTATTTAACATGTATTCAGTCGAGAGGTGCCATCTTCCTGCCCTTATGAAGAAGTCAGTGCCTACAAATTTCCCTCTTCATCGATCGTGTATTCCTCACCCGTCTCAGGGCAATGCTGGTGTCCTAGACCAAAGAATGAGACAATCGTGTATCTCCTTTCCAATGCCGCCACGCCGAATCCCCACCGTATCCTACAAGGCCAGCCTCATTCTTTGCAGCGCCATCTCTGTGCTTGACATGTGGTAAAACGGAGGATGCGATAGTCTTCTCCTTATGATAAAAAGTACCACGCATACAGAGTTTGCAGAGTCGGGACTCCTTCACCTCCCATCAAGGCTGTGTCTTGATAGCAATGAGACGAGACCACTGTGTATCCACCACCCTGCCGCAGCGCCATCTTTCTCCTTACAGCGCCACCTCCGCTGTTCAAATATGACGTCTTGGAGCATTTTATCCTGATCTGATCCTGATCTTTCCTCAAGATGAAAATCTTGCACGCAAGTTTTGGCGTCGGTGACCGGTCGGCTGTGTCTCTCTGAGCTGGAGCAAGTCGGGCAATGTCTCTGCACCTGTCTCTGGCTCCCGAAGCTAGAAGACAAAAAAAACCGTCCCACTTGCACAGCTTTGCTCTTCTTCTATAGCGCCAGCTGCGTGTTTGACATGCGAGGAACTGGATCGTACAATGATCATGTCCTTGTGATGAAGACGATGCTCTGAATCTCGCATAGTTGTCCATGCCTTCATTGCCTGTCCCTGGGTCAGCTGTGCAATGTCTCTGAAGAAGGCTCAGGGTGGGACTATTGTGAATTCTTTCCCTGTAGCACTTCCTGCAGGTGTTCCTTCACGGCATTTATGTTTCCTTACGGCGCTTTCCCTTCTCTCAGAGCCCCACCTCTATATTTGACATGGGATAAAATGGAGTGTAAAGTCATCACTTTCACCGAGGAAGTATACCTATGCTTGTGAAATCTGCCGGGCAGTATCGCTGAGAAATACGGAGGTCGAGGCTACCTATCGTGTATGCTCCAACTTCCCCTTACAGCACTTCTTCTCCCTCCCTTCACAGCACTTCCTCCTCTTTCGCAGCGCCACCTCTATGGTTGACATGTGATAAAGTGGAGTATAAGTTGATCACCTCTCCATGACGAAGAAAATGCTCTGAAAATCTGCAAAGTCAGCCATACCTCCCTCGTCCATCGTTGAGCAAGCCGGCCAAAGTCTTTGAAGCTGTCTTCAACGCGAGGGATGAGGCCATTGTAAATTTCCACTTGCACAGGCTTTTGCAATATCACCTCTTTCCTTACAACGCCGCCTCTGTCCTTGACATGTGATGAAATGGAGTATACAATAATTGTATTCCTACGGCAAAGACCATGCATGAAAAATCTGGAAGGTCCTTCGCGACCCTGCGAACGTTCTCGGGCAAGGCACGCAGTATCTCTTGGCCAAGATGATGGTACTGTCGTGGATCTACCTTCCTTCGTGCTGCAGTCCCGCTTCTGCCCTCGTATCCCCGAGTCTGCGGACCAGGACATTGTATCCTTCTTGCAGCAGCGCCACCCCTGTCCTTCGTATGCGATGAAATACCACATGAATCCTCTTCTCTTTACGACGAAGGCCATGTGTTTAAGTAAAGTCTGGATCGTCGGTCGCGTCTCTTGAACCATTTCTGAGCAAATCGAGCAATGTCTGCAGACCAGGGATTGAAACCATTGTAGATCCTCCGTGCTATAGCGCCGCCGCTGTTCTTGAATCCACAGGCCAGGAGACGAGGCCAGAAAATCCTCCGCTGCCTGCTCTGGTATATTTCTTGTCGTTTTGGGGCAAGTCGTGTTGCCGCTGCTGTCCTCATGGATTCGAAGCAGAAGAGCCGCCGCTGGCGCTGAGTGTCCTCCGCAATGTAGCCCCGTCGGTGGCATTGAGCGTCTTCCGTGCTGTGCCCCGTCGCTGGCATTGAGTATCTTCCGTGCTACAGCGCCGCCGTTAGCATTGACATGTGATAAAGCGGAGTGTACGATGATCTTCTCATTGCGAAAAAGACAATTTCTTTTCGGTCGTGTGTCTTTTACCTCTTGGAGCAAGTCATACGGCCGTCGCTTCCTTGAATCCCTGAACCAGTAGATCATACGGCTGCGTTCCTTCCTTGCTACAGCGCTGGCGCTGGAATTGACATGTGATAAAACGGAGTGTATGATCATCTTTTCCTTGCAAGAAAGGCCATGCCTACTCGGTTGTGTCTCTATTGCGTCTCTGGACAAACTGTGGCGCCGTCGCCGTCCTACGATCCCTGAGCCGGTAGCTGGACCATTGGATGGGACCATTGCGTTTCCTCCATGCAAGTCTTCCGTGCAAGTCCCCCGTACGTTTTCTCTGTGTACTTCTTCCGTGCGTCTATTTCGTGTTGCAGCGCCACCGCGGGTATCGGCATGTGGTGGAATGGAGTGTTCGAGATAATTATCTCCTCGCGAGGAAGACTCGCAAAGAGCATTTCCGTGAAATCTTGCTACTCGGTTATCTCTTGTGCGTGTCTGGACAAACTCTGCTTCACCACGGCGCTGTTTGTGTATCCTGGGGCCGTGGATCAAACCATTACGTTTCTGCTGTTTGTTTTCTTCCTGCTGCAGCGCTACGGCTGGTATTGGCGCCTGGTGAAATGGAGTTGTCGATAATATTCTCATTGCGGGAGAAATAGCATGCCTGTGAGATCTGACTACTCGGTCATCTCTTAAGCCTCTCTGAGCGAAAGCCGTACTCAATCTCTGTCCGTGTATCCCTGAGTCCGTGGATGAGACCATCGCGTTTCTTCTGTTGTTTCTTTCCTGATGTAGCGCTCCGGCTGCGATCGACACGTGGTGAAATGGAGTTGTCGATAATATTCTCCATGCGAGAGGAATAGCATGCCTGTGAGATCTGACTACTCAGTTATCTCGTACGCCTCTCTGAGCGAAGCCGTACTCAATCTCTGTCCGTGTATCCCCGAGTCTGTAGATGGAATCAATGCGTTTCTTCTGCGCTTGCTTCTTCTGCATCCGCTTCTGCCGTGCTGCAGCGCCACCGCTCGGATTGACATGTGAAAAAATGGCTTGGACGATCTTGTTCCCCTTACGAGAGAGAGCATGCCTGCAAAATTTGGCTACCCAGTTGTCTCTTATGCATCTCCGCACCGCTGTCCTTGTATCCCTGGATCCATAGATGAGACCATTGCGGTTCTTCTGCGCTTCCTTCTTCTGCTCCCGTCTCTTCCGTGCTCGTTTCCTCCGTGCTGCAGCGCCACCGCTTGGATTGACATGTGAAAAAATGGACCGTACGATCATCTTCTCCTTGCGAAAAAGACCATGCCTGTATAATTTGTCTACTGGACTGCGACTCCTATGCGTCTCTGAGCATGCCGTGCAGCTGCCGTCGCCGCTGCCCCTGAGTCTTTGAACCAGGAGACAGGACCAGTATCTTCCTTCGTCTCTCCTTCTGTGCTGCAGCGCCACTGATGGTATTAACATGTGATGAAACAGACCGTACGATCATCTTCTCCTTACGTGAAAGACCGTGCCTGTAAGATTTGCCTGCTCGCCTGTGTTTCTTGGGCATCTCTGGTCAAGCTGCACCTCCGCCATCGCCGCTGTTCGTTTGTCTTTGAACCGAGAGACAAGACCATTGAATCCTTTCCTCTCTTCTTCTGTACGGCAGCGCCGCTGCTGACATTGGTATGGGACGAAATGGAGTTTAGGAGATTGTTCTCCTTGTGAGAAAGACCATACCTGTAGAACTGCCTACCTAGTCGTTTCTCTTGCCCGTCCCCTGGGCCAGTCATGCTGCACCGCAACAGTATCCCCGGGCGACAAGAACCATTGATTGCTGCTGTGCCCAAGCAGCTCATCAACAGCACAACCGTTTGCGCTCCTTCCTCTTCCACATCTTCCATGTGACATTCTGCCATCTACATGCAATAAGCATGATCGTACAGGTAATATCTTCCTCACGAGACGTGCCGCAGCGAAAACCCGCGTCGTTCCTTCCGTGTATCTTGCCATAAGGCGGGAATCCCGTTAAACTCGGCGGTGTGCCACGAGGGCTCGCTTAAATTTTGGCTCCCACGCCTGACTCCTTCCTCTCTCTTACCACCACCACCACCACGTCTTCTTCCACAACATCGGCACACACACGTCGGTGCACGACAATACACCATCGCCCTTGACCATCGCTTGAACCATATCAAACATCCGCTACCACACGCCGCGCTCGCGGACATCTTCGCACCAAGTTTTCACCGTCGCGTCCATTGCCAGACGACAATTTCCCACCCCTTACCCAAGAACTTCCTTCCCCTCCACCACCTCTCACTATGACCGCTCCCTCCTCCTTCAACGGCCGCCAGGCCGACAAGAGGGTTGCCGTCCCTATCATCGCCCGTCCAAACATCGAGTCAGTCTCCCTTTCACCGGTAGATTTCGACTTCCAGCTGACATTTCTGCAGGCCACCCAGAGAGAGGCAGGCTCACGTCCAGATGGCCGCCGTCGCGCGTCCTGCTGCTGTCCGTAGCTCTCTCCTCAGCAACATGACTCTCCAGGCGCACGTTGCGGTTGCTGGCCCCATCAATCAGCCCGTCCCACAGGAGACGGCCCCCCTCACCACGCCAATGCAATGGCTGGTGCGCAACAGCGATGCGGACGCCCCACACGTTGCGCAAGCCCCCATTGGCACTCCCAMAGGGAACGTGAATCCCCCCCGCCCGTCCTTCTCCACCGACCTCGGCCCAAACGGTGGCCACTACGTCCGCATCAGCGGCATCAAAGAGTCCACCGTCTTGGAGACGCAGAGGGCCCTGTATTCCTCCGTAAGTGCCTCCCTTTCCGTGTTTTCACACCACGCTGACCCGTGTAATGCAGTACAAGTGGTCGGAGAAGCTCCTTGGCAGCCGCTCATCGGGAGAAGGAGATACATTCAAGATGTATCTCCGGTTCGACAGTATCGAAGAAGCGGCCCAAGCGGGCGAGCAAGTGTCAATGGCGCTGCCCGGAGCCCAGACGGACCCCGTCCCATTTCACGAGTATGCCACTGCTGAGGGCGGTCCACGGGACGACGGCCAGTTTTACGACGGCCAAGTCATCTTCACGGCCAAATTCATTGGCCCTATTTCTCAGCTCAACAAGGAAGATGCGTACCTGGAGTTCGAAAAGACGACTTCGCTCTTTGACGGTATCCGCGCCTCTGAAGAGGTCCGGCAGACGGCGACCACGGTGGAGTTTCGCGTGGAATTCGACAGGATCTCCGGCGCTCGCCTCGCTCTGGCCGCGGTGAGCACAGAGTCGCCGTACGTCAACAACGTAAGCCGCAACTCCCTTCCATCCCACGCTCTGTACAACCACTGACACTTCCACAGGGATGGATGGTCACAACAAAGGAAATCATGGACCCCCTGAAGTCCAGGAAGCAGATGCCCGACGTCATCACCCAAAGCCCAAGTGGACGCTCAGCATGGAGCGTAGATGCCAACGGCAACCTCGTCGTGAAGCAGCCAACGCAATCCCTGTCTCAGCTGTTCAAGTCCATGGCGATCGTCCCGTTCCAGCCGGCTCAGCAGCTCTGGCCAGTCATGTGCGGCGGTTACGATGTGTATGACCATTACGGTCGTTCGGCGCAGCCGTACCAATCGTACCAGCCGTATGATGATCGCCACTCCTCGGCGGACATCTACTTGGAGGACATCCGCGAGGGCCATGACGTACGTACGACAATCATGGTTCGCAACATTCCGAACAGTTGGTCGTACGCCGAGCTCAAGGATCGCATGGACGAGTACTGCCATGGCCTGTACGACTTCTCGTACCTCCGCATCGACTTCAAGGAGGGCACCAACGTCGGCTATGGTTTCGTGAACTTTACGCGCGCCGTGGACATAATCCCGCTGCACGAGGGCCTCTTTCAGAAGCCTTGGGTCCGCGGCGGCAAAGGCAGAAAGTGTAACATGTCCTACGCCACCGTCCAGGGAATCGACTGTCTTATCGAGAAGTTCCGCAACTCCTCGATCATGGACGAGGCTCCACCCTACAAGGCCAAGCTGTGGTGGACCACCTTCGATGTCAACGACACCGAGAGTGCCAATGAGGCCTCAGCCAGCAGCAACACCCAGATGGTCAAGTCCTCCGGTGGCGCCACGCATTTCGTCACGCCTGACATGGTCGGCACAGAGCGCCCATTCCCTCCTCCAGACAACGAGACCAAGCACCAGCGCTCCAACGCCAACGCCGCCAACAGCGAGCTGTATCCTGGCGCGCGCGGTGGCCTGATCACTCGAGGTGGCAGACGCGGCAGACGCGGCGGCTTCTCCAACTACGACCGCGGCACCACTCATCAGATGCACGAGGAGTTCTTCCAAGCCCTACCCATGCCATACGGCTACTTCCCAGTCGTCCCGCCACAGCTCATGATGAGCCCGTACTACCAGCAACACCACCCCGTCGGATATGGTAACAACCACTACCAGCACCACAGCGGTCCCGGGTACGCTGCCAACCATCGCCAGTATAAGAGCAGTGCCCGCGGCGCTCCTCGCGACGGCTTCATGTCCAACGACGCTCGCAACGACGCTCGCATGCCGCGATCATTCGAATTTGAGGACTCGCATGCGACTTCGTCTCGTGGCGGCTTCAACAAGCGTGGTGGTCGCATCTACACCTAGACTGCAAAGTGCCATTCTTTCGAAGCAATCTATCGCAGTCCGGTTGGAGAGGGATGTTTCCAGTACGGTCGACGAATTGAGACCATTGGTGTCCATTGACACATGGACAGAGATGACGAAAGCTTGCGCATGGTGCGATTGTGTTCCTGCAGATTGAGACCAGTTGACAGGGATGGTCAGATACAGAAGAGAGCCAGACAGTAGGCGCCAGAGTAGATACAGAAGAGAGTCAGACAGCAAGGCCAGTCCGAGTAGAAACCGAAAGAAAACTTTCCAGTCGTGTGACTTTGCTTCTCATTCCACGTTTGTGTATGCCTCATCCGTCCGATGGAATGCCCTGTGGCTCAATGGAGTCATCTACGTCTCCAGGATGAGATTTCATCATGTTCCGATGTGAAGACCTCTCGCGGCTTGAACGAGTGGCTGGCTCGAGAGAGATCTCTGCACACATCATGAACAAGTTCGTCGAGAGGAGGGAATGTTCTGTTCGTCCCGTGTCGTTGGAGATGTGATAGGCATCTCGGGTACACCGGAATGAAGATGTCGAACGAAGAAGACTCTCGCGAAATCGAGGAGGACGGGCAACAAGAGATGCCGTTATCATATTCAAAGCAGGGAGGTATAGTAAGTATAGTAAGGCAGGCAATGAGGATTGTGTATATTACGATGGTTTGGAGTCCAACAGACAGGAGCTGCGTCCCAGGCAGTCTTTCTCTCCATCAATCCATACGAACCAGGTGCTCGCTGGAGATGCATCACGCGCCCCTCAAATCGTTCCTGACTTTGTGATTCAAGGAAGTTTCCATCAACGCTTCAACGGCAAGCTCGATCAATCTTTGTAGGATTGTGGTGATAGGGTGAAGACGACGTGAGGTTCGAACCGATTTTCACACCCCCACCCGAAGGATTCGGATCCCAGCCGACGATCAAAACCTTGCCGGCTTCCGATCCTCCTTTAGAACTACGCGAGGCGAGACACGTACTGTACTGTGTTGACACGGATCATCCTGTTCATTATTATTGCCCTTTCTTGTCCATTTTTTTACCTTCCCTCCCGTCAGCACTGTACGGTTATGGCGTAGTACGGAACGCAGGCCTCGCACTTCACGAATATGCTGCGCCCGTCCGCAATGCGCAAAACCGCTCTGGTATTGGCCAACATCTTGTTGCCAATCGCTGTGCTGGTCTTTGCCTCTGGTTTCTTTCCTTACAAGCCCGTTCTGCCAGGTCTAGCCACCCTCAAGCAAGGCGATGGAGGCGCCCCCGAGGCTGCATTCGATCGTGTGATATTCATGGTCGTGGACGCTTTGCGAAGCGATTTTGTATACGGCCACGACTCTGGCTTCGAATACACCCAAGGGTATGCATTGGAAAGAAATGGACAGACGGATGAGCATCCACTGAACAGCCAGCAGGCTCATCCGCAATGGCGCGGCCATCCCTTTCACAGCCCATGCCACGCCTCCGACAGTCACCATGCCTCGTGTCAAAGCCCTGACAACCGGCTCCGTACCTTCCTTTCTCGATCTGATTCTCAACTTTGCTGAGAGTGACACATCCTCTTCGCTTGCCACACAAGATACCTGGTTGGCGCAGATCCGAGCAAAAGGTGGGAAGCTGGTCTTCTACGGCGATGACACATGGCTCAAGCTCTTTCCCGGCGACTTCTTCTCGCGGGTAGACGGCACGAGCAGCTTCTTCGTTTCGGTCAGTACAACTGGCCCTGGTACGTTATTGGTAGCGTACATAGCTGAGATATACAATTTTTCTTTTGCAGGACTTCACCGAAGTTGACAACAATGTGACGAGACATGTGCCTGGGGAACTGAAGCGGGATGATTGGGATGGGATGATTATGCACTACCTTGGACTGGATCACATTGGACATAAGACTGGACCACAGGGACCGAACATGCTTCCCAAACAGATGGAGATGGATGGGATTGTGAAGATGATCTACGAGGCCATGGAGCGGGAGCCACATCATGCGAAGACGCTGCTTGTCGTGGCTGGAGATCACGGCATGAATGCCGGAGGCAACCATGGTGGGAGTGGACCTGGAGAGACGGAGCCTGCATTGCTGTTCGCGAGCCCGAAGCTGAAAAGGATGCGGAAGAGCAGAGAGTATGAATGTCCTACGACGCCAAAGGCAGGTACAGAGTTCCATTACTACACCAARGTTGAACAGAGTGATCTCATACCAACGCTTGCGGGAATGATGGGACTCCCCATATCGCGCAATAGCCTCGGGACGTCCATCCCTGAGCTTTCCGGCCTTTGGTCAGAGGAGGAGACACTTCAACACCTGCGTAGGAACGCCGAGCAGATTTTGCAGATTGTTGAGGCCACTTTCGGGGAGGAGTCTTTCCGAACAGCAGTCTCAACATTTCGCAATTTGCATCTTTCAACAAACGAACTCTGTGAGGACAAGACAGAAGGCGAACAGCGTCTCGCTTGTCTTTGGGCTTTCGCGGAAAGCAAAGCCGATGAGCGACCAAGTCAGCGGCAGGCCAGAGACGCACAGGTGGCCATCAATAAGTTCTTGCTCACTGCGCAAGACTCTTTGAGTGGCACGGCGAGCTCGTACAACATCCCTCGCATGGTCATCGGCATGATCCTTTCCGCCGCCATCATCATGCTCACTCTGCTCTCGTTCCCTGCGTCGTGGCCGTCTTCAACTGCAAGCACATTTTTTGCCTTCACGAGCGTTCTTTATGGAGTCATGATGTTTGCAAGCAGCTACGTGGAAGAGGAGCAGCAGTTCTGGTACTGGATTACACCTGCCTGGATTTCCCTTCTCGGAGCGAGCAATGTGTCCACAGTACGGAGCACGACAGCAAGGACTCAAGTTGCGCTCGCAACCGTAGCGTCGCTCGCGGTACATCGATTTGCCGTGCGATGGAATCAGACTGGGCAAAAGCATTCCGGAGCGGACGATATCGTCCACACCCTCTTCCCAAATGCGCACGTCACCATGTGGTTGCTGGTGCTCAGCGCATTCGGTTACAATGGCTTCGCGCTTGTCAGACGAGCTTTTGCCGGCATCTTGGAGCCAGAAATGTCAGTACTGGCTGCTGTAGCTCTGGTCGTTCCTGCCATCGTTTTCAAGCTCAACTTCACGCAAGCAGATGCTCCTGAGCTCGTTCAAGGTCTGGCGGAGAAGATCAGAGAATGGAGCGAGCCTTTTGATTTGGTCTCGCAAGCTCGCTTTGCGTTCATCACGCTGGGTCTGGCTACGCTTGTTGTCGTCGTGCTCTCCGTGAACTCAGCACGAGCAAGCACCAAGGTCGGGATGAAAGAGGCTGGACTGCTACCTTCTCTAGCAGAGCGTCTGCATCATCTTCTGACGCTGTTTTTGATGATACAAACACGAGCACCAAACATCCCACTCTTCCTGGGTCTCGAGGTCCAAAGAGAAGCTCTTGCATATATCATACATGCTTCAACCACGACCTCTAAAGGCAGAACCGTTGTGCAGATTGCTACCAGCACTCTTCTGTTCTCACACGTCTACTACTTCTGCGCCGGAGGGTCCAACTCAATCTCTAGCATCGATCTCAGCAATGCATACAACGGCGTCTCCGACTACAACGTCCTAGCCGTTGGAGTTCTGCTCTTTGCCAGCAATTGGACGGCTCCGATATGGTGGTGTAGCGCAGCAAATCTACTGCTGACCAGCAAGCCTTCCTCCAGGCAGCAAGCGGACGCCCACGGTGGCCGGAAGTGGATCGATGGTGAGAGAACGAAGTTGCATGAAGACACGCTTCGGAGTGTCATGGGATCTGAGAAGACCGATGGGCCTGAAGGTACATGGTTCACATACGTATCTTTGATGACGGCGTTCATGTCCACGAGTTTGCTGGCCGTCATGGCGGCTTGCACGGCTCTGCGTACGCACTTGTTCATTTGGACGGTCTTTAGTCCAAAGTACTTGTATGCTATGGCGTGGAGTATTGGCTGGCATCTGGTTGTGAATATTGGTTTTGGGAGCTTGCTGAATTGGTTGGCAAGTATCAATTGACTGTTAGTAGGTATACAGTACGATGCCTTCAATTCGCCAACGGCGGCGGGTGTTCGAAGCTGATGGGAACAAACACGGAACAGCTGTATCAAGATGTCAATCACTTCACACACACCTCACATCCTCTGAATGCATACTGACCTCGAATCTCACGCTTCAAAACACGAATCAACTTGCATCAAGCTTACACACATCAGCCAGTACGCCTACAAAACAATTTCACGACTCATCATATCAAGCTTCGTCGACATCCTCTCCTACTCAACACGGATCCGAGCCAGCTATCGTGCAGCAAGTATGTCKAGAATGCACTGCAGCGATCAAGGCCAGAGCTTCTTGGGCTGAAGGAGGACGGCTCAATATACCATATCCAAATTCACATCCAGCTTCCGCCTTCCAAGCAGCGACTGAGCTCAAAAATCTCCAGGACAGTCCACCAAAGTATAAGGCAAGGTTCATCACATCAAACTTCTATTATCGAAACAGCGACGGTGGTCTCAGTTCCAGTGATGGATCGCTAAACATTGCAGCCAGATTATTCACACCCTCCACGATATTTCGACCGCCAGCGATCAGAATATGTTCTGCAAGTCCAGCTTCTTGAGCAATGAGTGCAAGGTCACCTCAATCGAGTATCGTTCGTCGACTACGAGCAATTGAAGTCAGGAACTCCAAAACATCTTCCTTTCGGGCACTTCGATCGAAGTCGATCACAAGCAAAACCAATCACTGACGAGCACCGCCACTTTCTCCTAAGATCGCAAAGTCCATGAATGGTTACAAACCAGCTATATTTACTTTCAACCTTTCCTCATCGACCACCATCGATCGGAGCCAAGATCTCCCAAAATGACCCCCTATAAGCAAGATCATCAACACCTCCAGAACCTAACTCCGCAGTAAACACACAGCGCTTGAGATCAGATTCTCACAGGCCAGCCACGTCGACACTACAACCAAGACTCCGTATAACTACGATACCCCTTCAGTAGCCTGCCATCTGAGTTGAGCGTCCCTCAACATGGGGTCTGGAAAACAACCTCATCACATCGCAGCATTCCTCTATKGTAGCCTTTGGTGTCAGATGTCCTTCATCCCAAGCACCACCACATAGCAAGACTACAAAAGAAGAATTGGATGGCACGTTCCTATCATGATACTCGCGACCATGAGCGTCAAATTCGCGATCTGGAGAGGGACATTCCGAAGTTTGTCGAGAGAAGAGCTTTCAGAGTCATCTCAGCGGCGTCAATCTATTTGGTCCAGCTCTCTAGGCACAGTTGTTCATGTTCCTGGCCCCTGCGTTATATTCAGCACAGGTATCTAGTTTGATGGAAAGCGGTGTCGAGCAGGTAACACCACATGCTTCCTTTGACAGAGACCTAGCTCAATAGATCGAAATACAGACAGTGGACTCTGATCTCCTGATCTCTATCACTCCGGTCCTTGACTGGTGGCCGGAATCGGAAGCTGTCAGTCCTCCTGGGGGCTTGATATCTAGAGAACTCGACTTTCAATTCTGCCCTCATGCTATGAGAGATCAAACATGTATTGAGAAATGTCACTCCTACTATTGACGCTTCAAAATTCAGGCAGTGACTCTTGTTCAACGTATTATCCAACGGTCGCTGATATCCAAAGTCAGATTCTATGCATATCAAGAGAGGAATTAGAAAAGACGAATGAGACATCGCAACATCGACAATGATTTCCAGTATCAGACCACAATGCAACGTTCAAAGTTTCTGACTTCGAAATTTGGGTCGTGTATAGTCAAGCCATCGATGGAGCCAGGACGGGAGAATCAACGAGAAATTAAGAGCACTGAGAGTGAACGCCTCTATCAGAAAGAAGGCATCATTGAACGAGCTCACACATTTACAATGTTAGATCATACGTGTAAGTCCCATCATGGGAGTCAGGGAACGGGTAAACATGAGGCACGACAAGAGGTAACGGGAAAGCATGAACTGCCTACAATCCTCCAATGTCTGCCTGGCTCAGAATATGACTTTTCATTCCATCTCAGCGTGCCAGATAATACAAGGAAGAGGGAGCTTTCAGACAGGTCGATATGAGAAATCTTGCACTGATTGAAAGCCCGCTACAGATGGATGGGAGGTGCTGAGCTTTGTTTGACTCCTCAGACATAGGTCGGAAAGGGGAATGGAAAAGATAATATGAGAGGACAAAATAATATGAGAGGACAAGATAGTGCGAGAGTGCTGTCACATCGTGTGTGCGAACGTAAATTCGAGGACAATGATAGGTGCACAAGAGAATGAAGGATGGTAGACGGAATTTGTTGCCTGAGTACCAGAGACTCTCTTTACATTGTGTTGTAGAGGAAAAGACTGAAGGAGGAATCAGGGAACAGGGACGAAGAGGGAGAGACAAGCAGCAAGAAGCGATGGCAGCGAAGGACTTGTAGTAATACAGTTGTGTCTGATCATTGCCACAATCGTTTTAACCTTTCGCCGGACTGGACGTATGCTTATACGCATATCTCTGCGGTGACTCCTTGCCCAACTCCTCACGTCCCCACTGGTGCAACAGCGTCTTGACCATGACCTTGCGTTCTTCATCCGCCTTCTCAAGCTTCTTACGCCAGACTTCTTCTCTTCTTCGCACGGTTTCCGAGACTCTCGCATCCAGCTCGATGTTCAAAGCCTCGAGCTCTTCAAGCTGATTCCTCAACTCTTCCTGTTCGGCCTTTGACGATTCAAGCTCATCCACAGCATCGTCCCTCTCGAGAATGGCCTCGTTCAGCTCGGTTTGTTTTGCGTCCAGCTCGCGCCTCACAACCTCCAGTTCCTGTGAGGAGGTTTCATTGCCCAGGCCATGCGCCGCCTTCATTTTCTGAACCTCTTCTCCGTGGCCAGCATGCACGTCCTTGAATTGGGTCTTGAGGTCCTGCACCTGCCGCTGGAGACCTGCAGCGAGATCGACCGCTCTTGTCCTCTCAGCAGCCATTCTGGTCGCCTCCTCATCGTGACCTCGCTTGACTTTGGCCAATGCATCCCTCAAATTCTCAACTTCCTCCTTCATCTTGCCACTAGCCTCWGTTAAGCGTCGTATGTCATCATTCGCAGTTTTGAGGAGACGCTCTAATTCCGAGACAACACCTTCATCATCACGCTCATTCTGCAATTCAGCCTGCATCCGCTCCAGCTCGAGATCATGATCCTCTCGCTGCGTATTGAGATCTTCTTTGTGCACCCGGCTCGTAGCCTCGGCATTGTTCGTGTTGCGACGAGCCAATTCCAGGTCCTGTTTCAGAGATTGGAGTTCCTGTTTGTGTTGTAAGGTCTGGCGAGACAAGAGCCCTTTCAGCCTTTCAACTTCAGCAGCATGCTTGTGAACCATCTCTTGTGCTCCCGTCCTGGCAAGTTTTGCCTGCTCTTCCGACTTCTCCGTCGTCGTGTGGAGCTTCTCATTCATCTCCCCAAATTGTCGTCGGAAATCATCATTGTGTTGGTAAGCTGCCTCCTTCATCTCCGTGAGATCCCGCTCCCGACGAGCGGCCTCTTTCATGTGCGCATCGAACTCCGCCCTTTCTTGTCGCCTGATGCGGGATTCCTCGTCGAGTGCATTCTTGAGTGCACTGTTGAGCTGCTCCAGCTGTTCACACTTCGCGTGCAGCTGTCTCAGCTGCGATTCAAGGTTGTCACGTTCCTGGTCATTGACAATTGTCTGGCCAGAGGTTCGGCGTTGCACGACTGGAGACCGCACGGGCGAGAACGTTGGACTCGATGCGCGGCCTGGTGTAGACTCCTCCTCTCTAAGACTTGAACGTCTCTGCATATCGTGGAAAGAGCGCGTGGGCCTACCGCGCACGGTATGGCCTGGAGTATGGCGGGCAGGTGTGAGTTCGCTGTGGTGATCCTCGACCGTCGGCTGAAGGAACTGTTTGTGTACAGGCGGGACTGGCGTAGACGCACTCCCATATGTGTGCCACTCGGAGCTGAACTGGTGCTCGTCGTTCTCCATGCCAGACACCTTTGGCGGGGTGTTCTCTGGGGTATGATTGCCCGCACTTGCTTTCTCTTCCTCGTGGCTGTTCGCGGGCACATGCAGCAAGCTTTGCTGGCTCTGATCATCGCCATCACCATCGCCTTCGCCATCGCCATATTGATCCTCTTCATGTTGCTCACGAGTTTCACCAACATCTTCCTGCGTGTTGATCGTTTGCGTCTGCGTTTGCGCTTGCGAGCCCGGGTTTGCATTTGCTTTCTTCCTCAGACTGCCGCCGCGCATCCACATGTCCATGTTCTGGGTAAAGTCGCTGGGTCCATCAATGTCTTCCGAAAAGACGCGATCCATACGCGGTTTGGGAATGGACGTGTCTGTATCGCCGTCGCTACCTAGCGCATTCAGATCGAGTGAGTATTCCGATGCCGTTGGAGATGTTGCCGGCAAATGAGCACGCGTCGGCGGACTTGACTGCATCGTTACGGCGTATCGCTCCTGCTTCCTATATCGATTGCCAATGGCGTACGGTTCTACCTCGTAGTTTGGTAAGGATGTCGGCAATGTTCGTGGATGGAGCTGTGCTCGTCGGGCAATGTTGATCAACAACGGCGATCATCCCGGCTCGGATTGCCGACGACGCGCCGCTCACGCGACAAAAGTTTAACTTTCTTTTCGTCAAAGGACTTCACTCGGAATCTCGCCAAAGGAATGGGCTTGTACATCCCTTCACGACTCTGCAGCGTATGCCATCTTCGGCGGTGTCCTCATCAATTGATGGAAGCGAAGCTTTCTCCTTAGCTCTGGCAGTGAGCGTGGTGTGCCTTGTCTGGTATACCGCCGTTCTGCTCGTTTCCTTCATTGGCTTCACGCAACTGTACGTCCACATCCAGATATTCAATATCATGATGCTAACTCACTGGCAGATGGCGGCACTACTCTTCTCCAAGGCCGCGAGCAAGCCCCAATTCATCTTCGGCACTCGACGTGACGGTGATTCGGCCGGTGAAAGGCTTGGAACCTCGTCTATATGACTGCTTGGCTTCGACCTTCCGACAAGACTATCCGAGGGAAAAGCTGCACATCCGCTTTTGCATTTCTGACCGCTCAGATCCTTCTCTGCCAGTCATAGAAAAGCTACTTCAGGACTTTCCTGGCTTTGACGCCCAGCTTCTGGTCGAGGATGAAGATGAGACGCTGATCAATGGCCAAGCCAATCTTGGACCAAACCCCAAGATCCGTAACATGAGTCGTGCCTACCGCACAGCCATCGGTGACCTCATATGGATCATTGACTGTAATGTGTGGGTAGCCCGAGGCGTCTGCAGCAGAATGGTCGCAAAACTTGAAGGCCACGGAACTCCGCACAGGAACAAATTTGTGCATCAGCTTCCTCTGGTCGTGGATGTTCTCGAGAGCAGCTCTTCCACCGAAGAATCTCAAGGGCTCCTCTCCGCGGGCACTCAGCTCCGCACAACCAGCTCGGCCAGCGCCACCTTGCAAGGCACTTCCGAACGCACGCCCTTTTCAATCGGCGGCGGTCGTCTTGAGGAACTCTTCATGTCCACCGCCCATGCAAAGTTTTACACAGCAATCAACACCGTACTAATCGCTCCTTGCTCTGTTGGTAAAAGCACCATGTTCCGTCGCAGTCATCTCGATCATGTGACAGCAGAAAAGAACGAGGGTAATGTTGGCCTGGACTTTTTCAACCAAAACATCTGCGAAGACCACTTGATTGGCGACCTGCTCTGGAAGAGCTCTGTTCCGGAGGAGGTCGCTGGTGAGAAGATGGGCAAGCACGCATGCCTGTTTGGAGACTTGGCAATTCAACCCATGGCAAACATGAGTCTGGTCGAGTATTGGCGTAGGCGTGTTCGCTGGCTGCGGGTGAGGAAGTTCACTGTAACCCTCGCTACGATGGTGGAGCCCGGAACCGAAAGCTTTCTTTGCTCAGCGTATGGAGCTTGGGCCGCCACATCGCTGCCTTGGACTGGATTGCCCCAGACTTGGACTGCACTTGCGATCTTCTGGCTGCTGAGCATAACGGCGTGGTGCACTGTGGATTGGATACTGTATCTGAAGCTGCATTCCGCGGCGTCCATTGACGTTGACGAGGAGACCCCTTTCTTTGCTAGGGCACCCAAACCTGGGCACAAGAGGCCTTTCACGGAGTGGGTATTCGCCTGGTTCGGGCGAGAGACACTAGCCTTCCCAATCTGGTTCTGGGCAATATATGGAGGTGCAACTGTCGAGTGGAGGGGGAAGCGTTTCTGGGTTGGTATGGACATGAAGGTGCACGAAATAGACGCTCAAAGGGCCGAAGATGGGCATAAGAGTGGGACGTCGACGCCTGCAGATAGGAAGGCGAGGAGAGACTGAAGACTCGAGGGTACGACATGTAAGTGCCGACGCTCAGATTGATGTCACTTTTTTCTCTACTCATCTCCTTCCCGTGCCGTCTCACGTTCTTACTTAAAGAGGTTGGTCGTGCTGCGAGTCTTGCAGATGTCTCAGATTCCTTCGTCATGTGCGGCCGGCTTGTTGAAGCTGTTGCCATATACAGCCAAGTTCTCGCCATTCTCTAGCTTCACACACATGTTGGTCGCAACTTGCAGAACACGGAGCGCGGATGTCGTCTCCCGGCATCGCAATGTAACTACGATTGCGGTCTCGCTACAGGTTGGCTGAACGAATACGATGCCGTCATTTGTGCGCAGTGCCTCCCCCACCCTGGATACCTCTATCTGGACGTGAAGTTTCAGATCCGCCAAGCCAGCTTCCCAAACGAGAGTTTACACACTAGCGCGTTTTCTCAACAAACGACGCCTTTTCTTTCATCACAACACCGCGCGTCTGGAGAAAACATCATCCGCAAAAGCTTGACGGCTTCTCTTGGTACGTGTCGAAAGCACTTCAGCAACAGATGCGCATACTGACCACAACTTACAGCAAGGATGAGCATCGCCAATACCGTCTGCCTGTGCGGCGGCGACTTCAGCACTCAGGTGATGATGGTCCAGCATGCAAATGATCAAGGCCACCTGCTCCGTTGCTCATGCCATCGTCTCTTTGCAACCCTGCAGGACCTGCAGAACCACGAGCAAGATGCGCATCCGCAAGACATCGGATCTTTCGAAGTACTTGAACTGATGCAGACACCAAAAACATCCTCATCATCACCTTCGGCCCACACCTGTACGATCTGCCATAGCACGCTCGCTAACGAGCATGGTTTGGCAATGCATAGAGCGGCGAAGCATCCCTCCTGCCCGGTCTGTCGGCAGAGCTTCCCTACTGCTCTTCATCTCGAGGGCCACCAACAGGCGACCTTGCACTGCTACTGCGCGGAGCATTCTCTTTCTTTCGCCTCGAATGTTCAGCTGCAGCAGCATATCAAGGCCTCGCCACACGTCACGGGATTCGAGTGCACCTCATGCAACCGAGCATTGAAATCCGAAGTGGCACTCCTCGACCACCTGAACAGTGAAGGACATGCGAATGTCGAGCGTGCTATTCAAGCTCAAGCTATGGCTGCTGCGAGGGCGGCGTCGAACCCTCAGCGCAGTCATGCCACACCGGAAGAAGAACTGGAGAAGAAATGTCACGAGTGCGATCGCAGCTTTAGGACTATCAATGGGCTGTACCAGCACAAGAAGTCCGTCAAGCACAACCCGCTCAGCGATCTGCGTTGTCCCATGTCCGAAGAATGCACTCGAACGTTTACGTCCCCATCCGCGCTGCTCTTTCACCTCGAAGGCGGCAAATGCAAGAGCGGTATGAATCGCGCGCAGGTGGACATGCTCGTCCATCAGCATGACACTGAGCGGCAGATCACGAATCTCGCGAACGTTGAGACTGTCAGTGGCGCCGCAGCGAGACTCGCGGGATCTTTGGAGTCCTCCGGAGATCTCGCCTCCCTGTTGACTGCGCTGTCCATTCAAGATGGCTCGACAGCATCTGACCGAGTAACTGACATTTCGGACCTGGAGAGCGGCACCTCAGACAATGACCAAGGACTGTTCGTCTTTACTCCAACTGCCTCTACCTACTCTCGTTCACGCACCAACTCCCTTGCCAGCTCCACTGTCGTCTCGAGCCGACACACAGCCAGTGAATGGGCCTCCATCACCGCCCACACCAATGCTGCTCGCGCCAACCTCACCCCTCGTGGCTCCAGCCCCTCTCCCACCATCATGACCCCTGCGACTGAGCGGCAAGACTGGTCATGTCCTGAACCCGGGTGTGAGAAATTCTTCAGGCAGCAACACTCTCTCTCGGAGCACCTCAACTCCCCGGCCCATGCCGTGAAGCTGTACCATTGCCCCACTGGTCTGGCTCTTCCAGCTGACAGACGTCGCACAAAGTCTTTCAAGACGATGAGCGGAATCTTGCAACATCTCGAAGCCGGCGCTTGTGCGGGAGGGCGGGAGGCTCTCGATCAGATCTTCGCGCTGCTGGAGGACAAGGTTACGCAGGTGACGGGAACGACTGTGAGGCTCCTACAAGAAGGGTCCTCTTGRGTCATGCACTGCGGACGTTGATGGTGTTTCTGGCGATCAAGTCGAGGGGAGCGAGATGATGCGGTTGACAGTTCTTGTTCGGAGATGACTTCCGATCGAGATTGGCTCATGGCTTGCGACGAACAGCCTGGACAGTGAGGCATGTGGTCATGATTGTCTAGAAGCATCTGGGCGCGCTTAGATTACATGGGCCACACTCGGAACATCGAATCGCAAATCTCTTCTCCACTCCAATAGGCATCTCTCGGCTGTCTGCAGGGGTTCGTGGGCGGCCTTCATTGAAGTAGGGCAGCAATCGAGGGTTTGAACGGTGCTGTCACATTGACGATTATTCTCATCATCAGAAGTCTCCCTGATACAAGCTCGACATCATAGCCTCACCTGTAACGGAAGCTTATCTTCCATAGCAGCATGCGAGTCAAGTAAAAGCAGTRACATGCACCGTCCTGCTTGCCATGTGATGTTTTGCCAGGTCTCCGCAGCTAGGTAACAGAGCCGACGAGGCGCGAGCTAATGGATCGATGTCGTCTTCAATTGCAGGACCATCGGCCCCTTCAGCGTACCCAGTACTTCAGCGTGGCAGCGGAAAGTCAGCCCAGGACATCATCTGCTTGCTCACGGCAAAGGAAGGCGAGCTCGACACCTCGCACGCATAAGTTACCTCACCGCACTCGAGGCGATCGATGCCGTTGAGATCAAGTGCATCTTCCTTCATTCTCAGGCTCTTCATGTCATCACCTCATCGTCACAAGCCACACCGCCTTCTCATCCCGGCGGAAATGTACAATTCTTGCCGATGCCAACGAAAGGCTGCCATGATCATGTCCGGAGGCTACACTCCCATGCTCACCGATCTCAAATCCTCCCGCCCATCTTTACGCCACAACTCGCGCTACTAGGACCACAGGACGTCAGGCTCGTAAACATGATGCGCCGTCGGCCCGCGGCCATTTACACACAGCGTCGTCGTGCATCGGAGTTGTAACGTCCCTCCCGTGATGGCTCCCACGAAGTTTGCAAGGGCTTGTTTCCATTGCCAATGTGCACAGCTCTTAGCAAATCTGACGAATCGACTTGAAAGTGTAAGATATGGGACAGGCGGACCGAGGGCGGATCCAAAAACTTTAGGGTCAGCGGCGGGCTAGTTCGAACGTTTTTGGAAAGGAAGCTATCACTCCGATGCATGTCGTTCCTGCTACAGACGATCGTCGCACGTCGATCCGGTTGATGGCGAGTGTGTCATGCAATTCAGATTTCTGTGATAGGTGCACTTGAGGGGCGATCGAACGCGATACCTTGGTCCTCGACCGTTCTAATGCCCACTTGGTTGGATCTGCGGGTTTCTTGCCGCGAAATAGGTCAATGCATTATTGAGCTGATAGACTTCTGGCATCTGCACATGAGCGCCGTCTGGTGTCCACGCCTGTGTAAAGTTTCAAACTCGCTGCTCGTTAAGAATCTGAACAGTAAAGACAACACGGAACTGCATGCATATATTACTTGTTCACGCCGACACCTGGTCGACATGTTCAATATGTCACCGAAAACCAGCATATGCGGACAGTTTGTTGGTGATGTCAGCTTGCGCCGGGCTTTGCTGGGACAGCCTGGGAAGATGCCGTAGTGCAGTGCATGCATGCGAGCGGGAGTGCAACATCTCTGCCGTTCGGCAGGCGGGTATTCTCTGGAACTTCGAAGCGACAGATCMGATTCATCGAGACAGGATCTGGTCGCTCGGCCCTACTTCATTGTGTACTCACGGCCAAAGATGATGAGCAGAAGGTTGATGAAGACGGTGGAAGTGTGTTTCGCGCCATGCTTGGCCGATCTCGCCAATCTGCGGGGAAACAGTCCGGACTGCACTAGGCATGCTGTGGACGACATGGCTGTAGCGTGGCACCCCTGTTTCTCAGAGTTGGGTTGATTGCCTTCGAAGCCTGCTCATGCGTTATGATACGCCGCTGTTATCCTCTCATGACCTCGCGGCACAAACGCGGACAAGCCGTTGGTCCCGCGTTGTCGTTTGATGCCCTCATCGAGAATAGTGCGGCCTCAGATCAACACGAATCCTCGCCACTGCAACAGGTCAGGCACCCGTCAAATCGATCGCGATCCATTGATTGTGTAGGCCAGTCGCAGTAATAGTCGACTGTCAAGGAAGACGGGAGCTCGAGCGGCAATGGTTCAACTCCCTCACAACACATCGCGAGCTTCCATGTTCTCAGCACACTTCCGAGGAGCAACTCGCAATGACGGCCTGGCGAGGTTACAATCTGATGGCCATGCAATGATTTCGCTACCATGCGCGTGTATCATCAGGACTGCCGTCCGCAGGTCGCGTTCTCGACAGGTACCAAATTGATTGTGAAGCATTCCAAATCGAATTGGACGCACGGTTTCAGCTGGCTGGAGCGAGCGATCTTGCTTTTGCTTCGGGCCTGGGCTATGTCCGTTCGATCGATTACGAACTCGTCGTAGAAGCGAAGGCGGAAATGCATCCAAGTTGGAGTCGCATTTTCCACAGGCCACAGGCCTCAAGGGAGCGAAGTGTCGGGCCTCACTTCCAGTCGTGATCTGGCCGCGCATGCGCTCATGGCACGTGAGCCGGCAGGGTAAGCTGAACTTCTGGGGCGACGATTTTTGTGTCGTATTGTTAGCGAAAGACTCGAGGTTCAGGTATGTTGAGGCTCGGATGGGCATGTGAAATTGCATTTCGCGAAGACCTCGTTCATCGTACGGCATTCATCATGAAACATGCACAGCCCTAGATCCTTGGAGGGCCATCGTTGTTCTGGAGCTCTTCTGGGAATGCTTGCAGGGGCATCCTGGTTGCTCAAACAAAGGGACCAGGTTGGAGCGGCGCTTAATTGACATCTGCCTGTAATCGATGTCCGCATCGGACGGCTTCTTGAAGCAGGTAGTCATTTCTGGTACCAGTCCTGTAAGAGCTAGGATCTGCAATCACAATCAGCGGCGACTGTGGGTGGAGCTGGGGAGTTTATACAGATCCCAACACTGTGTACGGTAAACGTGCAGATGAGAGACTTTGATGATATTCCTACGATGCGTCAAAAGGCTGCACATCAGGCTCGGAAATCAGTTTGATAGCAGTCGTACCAGTCCACATTGTTGGCAAAGAGGTTCATCGTAGATTTGCGAGCCAGTTTTTGGCCAGGAACACGTCGCTGAGGGCGCCGATCTCCTGCGCTGATGTGAGCCAGCGGCACTCGCTGTTCGATCCAGTCCTCAGGCTGGTAGAGTTGTGCTGGTCATCATGAAGCTGATCACAGGTACCCAAGGCACGTCCTAGATTAGGGCGTCTCTTTGCATCGGGAGTCGTTCTTGATGGCCATAAATCCGCATTCGCTGTAATCTACGAGAAGTGATTCGCTGCCGACACACCCGCGCTGGGATATTCAAGAGGGCTCTGTGGTTCGGACACCCTCCGATGCAAAGAGACGATGGACTCGATCCGGCCAGATGTCCCGTGATGTCGAGGCATAGATCATTCCGTGGAGCCTCGAAGTCAATGCATAGGCGTGTTCGATGTCGCCAATGTCACACTCCTTCGTATCATCAACATGCTTTTGCGGAGGGGCTGATCTCTTTCGTAATTGCTCGTACATGTTGTACCTACGTAGTACTGGTAGTCATAGAGAACCGGTGGAATGGCTTGCGCATGGTCCACACGATAGCACGGCTCCATCGGGCGAAGCTTGTCATGCTACAGACGGGGAAGAGTGTTGCCACAGCCTCTACTTATCCTATCATGTCAGCTACGATGTACGGAGTAGGAGTGATACACCCAGCAAAATTAGGTTTGTGGTCGACACGGGGCGCCGAAAAARGTGCACATGCCAGAATCTGATAGGGCGCCGAGCATACTTTTGCAGTAAATGAACGCGCCACGCAAGCGCCAGGCGGGTTTTGCTGGTGGAATGCGCCGATCAGTGCCGCAGATCTGGAACACAGAGCTGGCAGAGGCCTGGCGATGCGATTTTTGTGCTCTGGCTGTGGTGCGGGGCTTCTGCGGCTCGCAAGCACTGGCACTGCGCAATGCTCGCTGCAAAATGACTCGCGAGGCTGATGGCGACTGGGATTTTGGACAACAAWGGTCAGAATTTCTTCAAATGAAACTCGTTTTTCATATGCCGGACGATTAGGGAACGATTCATGGTCTCGCGGCTAACCAGTTCTGCGGAGACTGCGACGGGTTCCAAAGTACTTCCGGCAGGGTCGTCCTGCGTGCCACTCTGCTGCTGCCGATATCGACTAGCCGCCACGGCATCGGGACACGATCCTACTTCCTGTCCCGGCTTTACTCATTTCGTGTCTTTAGGTGCTCGCGGCAGACTTGTGAGATTCAAACAAGCCTCACCACTCTCGTATAGCACGACGAGCAAGCGTCACGGTGGAAAGTTGAGTCTACTCTCAATCCAAAGGCGATGAGAAATCGGCATAGCTTCGGTACATCGAGAAGAAGTTCAAGGTCCGCCGAGCTTCTGCAGTATCGAACTGCGAAGTATGAATGGACCAAAGGCGTTGGAGACAACATGATTTGGCTCCACTCTTGGCTGCACGGACGGGAGCTAACCCCAGCTTTAATCTTGACGCCATCATGTGTGAGCTGGTTATTGGCCAGAGTATTCGGGTCCGAGGGGTGCGGTCCCATTCGCAGCTCCGGTCCGGTCGCTGGTGCCATACCAAAGCTTTAATGGGGGCGGGAAGCATTCACTGCCATCTTGCATGAACGTCGGATCGGTACTGCAGTCAAGTGAACCCGTAAAGCACTGCTAAGTGCAACATCGGTAAATGATGATCGCGTACAAGCAGAAGTGAGCTCCGAAGAGAAACTCCCGAATCTTACTTCCCGTGTGGCGTCGAGGCGCATTAGGCCTTTACCCGAACCATTCACAATCACTTTTCGCGTGCTTTTAGACGCTCATCGTTGCTCAATCCGTCTTGACGTCAGCTGTGAACGTGTGCGCTTCAGCCGCAGTATCTAAAGTTAGTACGTGTCTGAGATGCTTGTGTGCTTCGCGCTCCGTAGACAATAAAAGCCCTCCACTGGTTAGAGACACCATCAAGCGATGGTGCGATGCAGCTGAAATGATCCGCGTGCCACCCATGTTTTCGGCAGTCTTCGTGGTACTCCCAGTGCGACCACGCCGCTTGACGAGATCGAAGGGATGCGGAGTGGTTCATTTCTTTTGTGCTGCCCCACCACACATTCCCTTTACAGAAGTCGTTTCATCATGCGAGGATTCTATCGCTAGCAATCGGTGGTCCGGCAGACGGTAAACGACAGGTGAGGTGCAATAGCTGGACTAGGTTGTGCCCAGTCGGGGAACACAACAAGTGGGGAATCTTGACCAACATGTTCTTGGCAACCATGATGAATGAAGGAGCGTTGCAGAAGTCCAGAGCTTTGAATCCCGCAAGCTGCTCGTGCGATAAGTCTGTATTCCATACTTCGTTGTATGTACCTAGGCACGCTGTCTGCGCGCGATTTCACGATGCGTGCGTGTGAGAGCGTCTCCCAACGAGCCTGCCGCGATCGAATCAAAAAGTGGCCTCGGGGATTGTCTCGGACTGCCGACCACTCACCTTACCGGAGAGAGCTGATCGCATGGCTCATCAGGAGTCTCGCTACGGCAGTCAGTGCAACGGCCACTGGAATCCTCCAACGCTTGACATCAGGGCTGGCTTTCTCAGCCTCCAAGTCTGTGCTGTTTGGCGGCCGACCAGCGTTGTTGTGGTGTGAACACAACGGGATTCCTGTGCGGCCGTGCCATGCCATGCCATGTGAGAGGGCAGCCTCGTGCAGGTGCTAGGCGCATACTGTAGCTGTTCCGGTCCGTGGACCGTCATATGATGAGCCAATCCTTGGGACTAGGTGTGATCAGCGCAGACGGCATTGCCGGGCAAACTCCACCGAGCAAGGATGCCCTGCGCTGAGACTTTCGGCTGCCGCAACTCTGCTTGTCAGCGTGGGCGGGCTGGTTTCCCGATTGTGCTCAAGTGCGCGGCTCCGCTAAAAGCGATCGTCTCAGGGCCTTTGATTGCCTGTGATGCCTGCTCCATGCTGCCGTGTTTGGGGAGCCTGAGCCAGACGAGGATCCAGCCAAGGCGAGAAACGCTGTCGTCGCCACCGGCGGCAGACAGGGCGCTGCCCAGGCGGTCGCGTAGTCCAGCTCGATTTGGGCATTAGAGTGACAGCCAGACGAGGCACAGACGCTCTCGCCAGGGCACGCGGGCGATCCTTCGACGCCGGACACGGCCTTGCTGCTTGCAGGCCCAAACTCTGCTTCGCGGCAAGCATCGATGCTTTGCGGGCGCTTCACTCGCCGACTAGCACCACGCCGCAGACAGGCTAGGGTAGCTACGCCGTAGAGTTCCCGTGTGCTGGTATTCTCCATTCCGGCTGTGGCTGCGAGCGTGCGTGCGGGCCCATCAGAGTTGTCCCTCGAGGTGAGAGGGTCCCGCCGTTGCTGCAGACGACTCAGGACTCAGGACGGGAAGAAGCCCCTCCCATGCGCAAGGGTGTGTGCACCTCCACTCGCAGCGATCGATACGCTGCCCTTGATCTAATAAACGACCACTCGCCTGCCCGTTGCTCACCCACCTCTATCGGCACCTGACGCTGCACATCAACCTACACCTCTGCATCTGCATTACCGAGTGGCCACCTGCGTCTTTGCCGCCGCTGCCCTTTGCTGTCCCTTTGCTCTACCTTGTCGGCTGCGCTTGACTCGCCTCCGCGCAGCACAGGAGCCGAGAGCCTACTACTGTCCTCACCCGCCTGGCCACTCGTTCCAACACCTTTCCTGCAGCCTTCTTGAGCCCGCTTATGCTGCACCCCATCTCTGTCTGCCTGCTTCCTCGCTGCAAATTCGATCGTGTCCCCGACTCGCTGCATGCAACGTATTGTTACCGGCAGCGTTGAATCATTCTGCCTTCGCCACCTTCACGTTGCTCGGCGCCGTGGATCAGTTTCAACGTTGGCGAGAGAGAAGCCGCGGACGAGGAGCTTCGCACCTGGCACGGGCACTCATGTTCCAGACTCCCAGTTGAGCAACACTGCCGGGCTTTATTAGAAGCCATGTTCTCAGCTGCGAGCCATCCGGCGGACTCCATTCGTACCCATTCCTATCACCATGACCGACGCATGAGCCACTCCGGCGAGCATCCGCAGTATGGTCTTCCACAGAGGCCATCGGTAGAATTGCCGCGTCCTCTGGAGCCTAGGCCCTCTTACCAGATGCCCTCTCCACTGCCAGAAGGACCAGGACACCAAAGGAGGCCCGATGCCTTCCGGGGACCGCCGCCAGGCCAAAGCGAACACCGGCCACAAGGACAGAAGCTGCCTCGTCTACAGGACATTCTAACTTCAGCCTCACCCGGACCATCGCAGGCTCCATATCCTCCCAATGTGTGGAATGGTCCTCCTCCAACTCAGCATAGCGGAGAGGCCTACTACGGTCGGAGTCAAGCTGCTTGGCATCCTCCGCTTGCACCGCCTCCGGCCACCAATGGACATACATTCCATTCCCATCAGAACCGCCGTATCGAGCTACCGATATTGGAGACTAACCCTTCCAAACGACACGATAGTCAGGTTCCCTCGCCCCCATATGCAAGCTATCCGGAGCATCCTATGGAATATCATGATCCACGGCGGGAACAAGCACGACAGCCCACGACAGGTCCAGGTCCATATTTGATGAACGGCGTGCCCAGTCCGTACAACACCGGTGCTGCAGACGAATCGCAGTATCGAAGCCCTCCTGGCTCATTGGACCGGGTCGATAACCACAACGGACCCGCTGGACCCGAGTCATCAAAGAAGTATATTGGTGTGAGAGAGGTGCCGGGCGAAGGAGCTTTCCACCTCTACGAAGGTGGCTTCCGCATCCCAACACATGTCGACGGCGAAACCGTCAACCCTGCTTGGGGACTGACAAAGGCCAACAAGCCTCGTAAGCGGCTCGCAATGGCATGTCTAGACTGCCGAGAGAAGAAGATCAAATGCGAGCCGGGTGCCGCGAGCTGCCTACAATGTGAAAAGGCAAAGAGAGTTTGTCGAAAGTAGGTCGTCCGCCAAGTGTCTGCTGCTATTGACTGACCAACCGTCAACAGGGCGCCGACCCATCAGTCCCAATCAGAAACGAGCGGAACTCCAATTTGGCCGAGCGGCGCTGATTCTCCCACCCATAAGAGTGCAACAGGATCGACATCTCCGCACATGGTCTCTGAAGGCGTACACAAGCGGCGGACAATGGATGGTTCTTCTCCCTCCTCAGCTCCCGCCAAGAAGCACCGATCTGCCTCTCCATTGTCTGCAAATCATGGCGCCGTGCAGTCTCCGGAGAACGGCCACAAAAGTACGCCAAACGCGGCTCGGCCATCAGCCAGGGTGTTGTGCTGGGAAGAAGACCCATACTTGGTGGATCCCGAAGCGACCATGCATCTCCTGAACTACTACTTTGCAGAAGTCAATGATGCGACTTATTGTATATTTCCAAAGCATCACTTCATGAACTGGCTTAGAGCAAGTCCCGAAAAGTGCCAGAGYGAGCGCATGGTTCTTTATGCAATGCTGGCCGTGGGTTCCATCTTTGCCGACGACGTTCAATATTCCGGATTTGCGGAGCGCTGTGTGATTATAGCCGGAGAGGCTATACAGGCCAAGATAGGACGTTTCAGCATGTGTGTTGTGCAGACTCGACTGCTACTGGGGCTGTACCATTTTGCAAAGGGTGCTAACGGGGTGGAATGGGACTACATCGGATCCGGCATCCAAGCCGCACTCTACCTGAGATATCACACCGAACAGGGCTGTGCGGAGAGCGACGGCAACGTGCGAAGTCGCCACGAGTTCAATCTCTCTTCAGAGCAGGTGATTGAATGCAAGCGCCGGACGTTTTGGTCAGGCTTTCTCATGGATCGCTATTGTGGCCCAAATTCAAGCAGCATCAATCCCCAGGATGTCTTCCTTCGACTTCCATGCTTCGAGGAGACCTATGAACGTGGCTACCAGTCCGATGCGCCTCACTACAACAACGGAACCATCGATCCACTGAAGGCATCACTTACGGCAACTAGCGCAATCTCGCCAATGGGTTGGCTAATTCTGGTCGCCGCGATTTGGGGCGATGTATCGAATTTCATCTATCGCGCCGTACACCGTTCGCCGGTAGCGTATGCAGATGAGTACGAGAGGTTTTACGAGAACACCGGAGCAGCGCTGCACAATTGGTCCTCACGCCTACCAGACCAACTACAGTTCTCCCAGGCCAATGTAGAGCGCAGCATTCAGGGAGGGTATGCAGGACCGTTCATCTCGATGCACGTCCTGTATCATCTTGCCTGGGTGAAGATGAACCGATTTGTGAGGCATTCGCTCATCCCACGGTCACTCGCGCGCAACGTGCGAGCTTCACATAAGCACTCACACGACCTGCTCCAAGTGATGAATACTCTTCGCGCAGCAAAGTGGGATATGATGGACAGAGATGGCCACGGTGCCTCTTTTTCGTTCACAACACCGTTCGCTGGATATGCCATCCTCGCTGCAATCGACGTAGTCGGGGCTGGTGGCTTGGACTCCCATCTCAGATCCACTTTGGACCTCATCAGTTGTGGTCTGGAATCATTGAGGGAGCTGGCTCGGTACTGGAACAGCGCCCGTGACCAAGACAAAGCCTGCGAGACACGCTACTATCAGATTCAAAACGTCCTCAAGCATCCGTTCACAGCACGGAGCGGTTGTTGGCTTGGACGAGAGTGGGGTGTGCACTCGTCCCTGGAGCAGGAATTTGCAGAAGCAGACGACTGCATCTACGGTGCGGACGATCGCAGCTTCTTTGATGCGCTTCGAGAAGATCCGCAGAACAGGAGTCCGGGCAGTGATTCACGTGGCTTGTGACAGCCTTTCGGCCAGATATCGACAGGATCATTGTATGCGCCGCAAAGGATTCCGTCCGAGTCGAGATACAGGAGCGAAACGGTACAACCATGATTCATGAACATCATGTTGGCAAGCACAGATATGTGTGTCTATTAAGAACAGATGTCGATAATACAACCATACTATACTACGATACGTGTAGAGATTTAACGGTTCATTCTGTCAACACATCTGCGTTGGCACATTTCTTCGAGAAACACAGAATAGGCACTGGTCTCATTTCGGGGCCTTTGCACTAACTCCGTCTCCGCAGTGAAGGGGACTACGAGGTACGGACTATCTATGCGCGCTCTGATTGGGTGCGCGTACATCCTGTGATGTGCCGCTGCTGKATCGACGATGCTCTACGGCCAAGAAGTCTAGCGCTTTTGCATGGGGGCTCTGGAAGCCTGTTAGCGAGCCCGCTGCTCGGGCCGCTCATGTCGAGTGCTTCACCTTAATTAGGCCCTGCAAAACTGCAAAACAACCAGGACAAGGACCAGGCTCGAGCAAGGATTGTAGCGAGCAGGCGCATCTTCCGAAATCTTTCCCGATCTTTGGATCTCGTTTTCCGTGGCTTCGTTAGCCTGCGGAGCTCGAGTCATGTAGCTAGCTCTAGCCTCCGGGGCGCTCGTTCGGCAATTAGAATGCGCCTGCGACGTGTTTCGTATTCATCCATAATCCGTGTCTTTGTGGCGTACAATAGATGTATGTTCCTTGAGAGGCTCAAACATCATGAACGTGCACATCACAGTGACATGAGCAGAATGGAAGAGCGTCCATCACCTTGCACAAACGCAATGCATTCACAAATCCTTCCTTGCACGCCTACAACAGGCCTTGGTCTTGGGATCATACATTCGCCAAGCCGGAGGCGGCTTGCTTCATACCGACATTGCTCTACGGTATCTCTTGCATTCGTCCGTGAAAGTGGACCCCCTGGGTCGTCGCGTTGCCGAGTAAATCTCCCGAGACCTAATCACCACTCTGCCAACAAATTCTGGACCGCACGGTTCAGCTACTCCTATCGTAGCGGCCGGGGATAGGCGGCACTCATTGCACGGGGCGGAGCCGCTCGGAGCTTCGGTTGTCTAGATCTCTCCACCCGCTTGCAGGGTAGGTGCAAGCAAAGCCGAGCCCCACAGATGTTTCTCCAGCGCGTCTGCTGAACTTATATCCACGCTCTATGGGAAGCGAATGTCCTAAACCATGGTGAGAAGCGACAACGGCAGCCAGCATAGCCGAAGCAGCGGGTCGTATCCAAGGAGACTTGAGTCGATGTTGCCGTCTATAGCATCACGATGCTTGCTCACCCATCTTTCRGCAGTCCTTGCGCAGCCTGGGCAAGGTTTTCATCCTCGCTCCCTTTGCCATCTTCATCAGTTGCTCCTTGCTCGCGAACAGCATTGACATGATGTGCCTCCTTTCCTTTTCGTTCCACGATATCCAGGTGGGCGAATTCTTTCCTTGCAAGCTGCACGTTCACGCGCGCAGCATTGAAAGATGCCTCATCACTGGGCATTACGATCGCTAGATTTGTGTTTTCAGTCAGCCKTGTGATGAAGAACATGAATGCTCCAGTCTTGATCTGCATCTCTGCAAATGACACTTCCGACGCCATCATCCCAGTGTGCTTGGACATGGAATGTTTGTGGGTCTTGAGGATGCTGCTGATTCTTTCGAAGCGATCGGTGTACGGATTCCGCTCCTCGCTTGAGCGAGTGATATGCGTGACAACCAGGCACGTGGTTCGTTCGTACAATATCATCTCACGGGCATCGAGAATCTCGGCCAGTTTTGAAAGCATACTTTCAATAACTGTCGCGTTTGGAACCAGGAAATATATCACCTGAGTCCAGGCCCGATACAAGCTCTGGTCCCAGATGGAACTGGGGCAGAAATCAACCTGCTGACCATGGAAGCCCTCGTCCTGACAAGTGGCACGGATCTCCTTCATTCTCTGTTGATAGACCGCGCTCTTTTGGTCCGGACGAATGAGATCCATCTTGTGAATAAGCACGAAGATCTTGCTCTGTGGACTGAATTCTTGCAATGCGCGAATTGTGGACGCAAAGCTCAGCATGTCCGATGCAATCTCTTTGGAGGAAACGTCAAAGACGAATATCAGGACAGCGACCGAGTAGAACACGTGTGATCGTTGGTTTGTTAGATAGGACTCCACGAAAGAGTCCTGTCTGTGAAGACGGTTCATCAGCTGCTACATCTGACATTGCCCGCAGCATCTCCGAAGGTCACTCACCCTCCACAGTCCCATAGATTCAGCATAAGATTCCCCATGAACTTGATGTTCGCGTGCTCGACGTCAACCGTGGCGCCCAATCTGCGCACATCTTTTGCGACGTAATTGTTGAAAATGATCGAGCGCATTGACGACTTGCCAGCTCCAGATCGGCCCATGAGCAGAACTTTGCGCTGCTTATGGCGCTTGCCACGCTCCGATGTGCTCATCGTCGTGTCTGTGGTCGTGGTCATATACTCAAGTTCGATGTTATCGCGAAGTGGTGAGGTGCGACGAGGCAGTGTCGCAGACGCACTAGCGGCTCGGACCTCACCTTATTCTTCCCATCTCATGATGATGAAAGATATCTTGTGACTCTTGTCAACACAGCACAACATGTACATGCGGCTCGCATCCTAGATGATTGCATTTTACTCTGCTCCATCAGTGGCATTCTGGACAGCCGATGGGCAAACCTCGCTCCATCCAGCTCAGCGCAGCAGAGCAGTGATGCGCTGACATTCGTTCAGGTGATGGACTTTGGGCATTGCTCACGAGGGCTTTGAGGCATGGGAAATGCCCTATGACATGTTCGTCTCCTTGAAGCTGACGCTATGTGAAAGGATTCGGCTGGGTCCAACAAGAGGCTGGAAACTTCCGGCCTGTCTGTGGTCATTCAGATCTTCTTGCAGTCTCTGCTTTCCACGATGGCAACAGTGTTGTTTTCGGCCTGGCTACGTGATCGTGATTATCAATGTCTGCAAGAGACGCCAGCTTCTGACATGTTGACAACCCCTTGACTTTCTGATCCTCTGGCCCCTCGTCCATTCGTTAAATTAGCAGCCCCGCAATGGCATGTCGTTCGAGCTCCGCTCGGCGCTCAGCTCCATTGCAAGTTCCTTCAAMTTGATCGAGTATGCAGGTCTTGCAGGAGACCTCCCTTGCTCGCGTCGTTCCCTCGCTTCTGCTTCGGACATTGCTGCAAACTCTGGATTGAGGCCCGATGCCGTCAGTTACCGCCTGCCAAGGTCTCACAAGCCTAATGATCCTTCCCGCGTATAGTAAAGTAGGGCAAAATCAGTGGCATCTTTCGCAGATCCAGCGCTGTCTCCTTGGCGAGTCCGACATGATTGATGATGCTTGCTAATGGTAAGCGAGCTCAGAGACCTCTCATTGTGTTCTGCGGAAGTTGGTGTGGCCGTCGATCGACGAAGACAGTCTGCTGACCTTTCCAGGTTCTCGTTACATCTTCATACATTGGGGAGCAGACGTGACTACTTATGGTCGCTGTCTGAGCATTGCGTTCGCGCGTGTGAGGTCGTGTTTGTGTTCGTTGCGAATGGTTGATACTGAATAGTACATTGTAATCCGGGTACGCTTCGAAGCTCCTGTGGCTTTCGAATCAGACGAATAGGATGTGACGTCTTTCGTGGTGAATTGGCGAGCGGCAATGTTCACAATCGCCTTGTAATCATCACAGTAGATCAGACCTCGTCGTCGGGCATCGTGTGTGATCATTTGGCGATCGAGGCCCTTTGAATCTGAACGGAGGCCTTTCGCAGCACTCTTTCGCCAACATATGTTGCCAGAATCTGGGATTTCACACGACATGGTCCCAAAATCACTTCGAACCTATCCACGCAGCATACTGGCTTCGACTACATGACGAGGTATCTTACAGATACCATCTTACATCCATTGCTTCGCATCGAATCAATGTGGAGACGACGTCGACGACTTCGCATACTACCCAAACCCTAACCCTATCCAAAATTTGTAGTGACGTAGGTATCTCCGTTCGAGCTCCCCATCGAGCCTCGGCGGGTTCTGTACGTTGAAGTGAGGCCAGACACGAACAGCATCGTAAGACACCACCACGTTAAAAGCCCATTCAGAACCGCAGCAATGTCATTCCGACTGCCTGGAATTCTCAACCACTCTCTGCGCACACCGCTCATCCTCGGCGGCAGCATTGGCTTCTCGGCCGCACTTCTCACCCTCAGACCGCAACGCCKACCAGTTCTCCTCGACTCGTCACCTTCCGCCGTCAGCCCCAAAGATTGGTCATTCTCTCAATATCAAAACGATGCTTCTGTTCCAGTCACCCGAAAGGGCCACATGAACCCAGGRGCCATACGACAACTGACGACTGGCAGTATCATAGGTTTGTGTTGTCCTATTGCAAAATGCACTTCCCCAGCTGACCTTTTCACTCTACAGGACTGGTCGCAGGCCTCGGTCTATCGGTATTCTCCAAGTCACTGGTGCTCATAGTCGGCCTTCTCATCGCTGGTGTTCAGACAGCAGAAAGCTATGGAATACACCTAATCCCGTACCGGAAATTGCAGGGCTATGTCAAAGGCATCGATCTTCGCAGTGCAGTGCAGGACAATGTTGGATTCAAGATCAGTTTCGGCCTCATGTTTGCCTTGAGCGCGTTTGCAGAGCTTTGAGGTATGAGGGAAAGCAGAGATGTGCGATACACGATACCATAAAGCCAGTTGATCATCACGGAAGAAGAGCAGAGTGAGCCAAGGGTACTTGGAAGCCATTCGATGTATGAATATGAGCGAATGTAAGGAATATTCATTGTGCTCGAAGGTGGCGATAGAAAGATCGATAAGCTGTGATGTTGACAAGGCTACAAGAGCCGAATGCCATGATCGATGCAATATCACAAGGTCGAGTCCCAAAGCCTGGAGTTGGTGAAGGTAAGGTACAGCTACTATTGAGAGACATGCGAGGTGTTGCGACTGAACAGGACGCGAAAGTGCAAGAGTCAAGTTGTTCTTTCAGCAGCTGTTCTTTCCTGGGAAGGGGGCTGACGATTGCAGTCGTTTGGGTTTCCTTGAATTCATCAGCATAATTCACCGACAGATCTTTCGAACATCGCGTCACCAACCATTGCAGTGAGCCACGACCCTTTGACTTCCCTCTAGATACATTCGAAGATTTCTGGCCATCAACCATGCTGAAGTTCATGATTCTGTCCGACACGCACAATTTCGAACGGGACTCCGCAGAAACCTTCCCACTCAGCGGGCCTCTACCAAAAGTCGACGTTGTCCTCCACTGCGGAGATCTCACCTTTGTTGGAGGGCTGTCCTCCTACAAGAAAGCACTGCGTATGCTGGGGGACTTCGATGCCGAGCTCAGACTAGTCATCGCAGGCAACCACGACCTCAGCCTCGATGGTACATACTGGAGCTCGCATCTAGGAGAGGATGATGATCCTGCCGAGCACGAGAAGGCGATGGAAACCATGACCGGACCACTAGCCCACGCCGCCGGGGTGACATATCTCCAAGAGGGCCTGCACAGCTTCACACTCAAAAGTGGCAGCAGCTTCAAGATCTTTGCGTCGCCTTATCAGCCTGAATTCTGCGACTGGGCTTTCGGATATCCACGGAACGAAGGCGAACAACGTTGGAACATTCCAAAGGGTGTCGACATTGTCATGACACATGGTCCGCCGCTCAATGTTTTGGATCTATGCAAAGGCGGGAACATGGGCTGCGCGGCTCTCCTGAATGAGGTGAAGTCTGTTGCGCCGCTGATGCATTGCTTTGGCCATATACATGAAGGCTATGGAGTGGAGAAGAAGATCTGGAATGTTTCAAATGAAGCGCAAGGAGTGGTGGTCAAGGTCAATATGGCTGGGTGCGAAAAAGCTGCCGAGGAATACAAGATTGAGCGAGGTTCGAGCACACTCATGGTCAACGCTGCGATCATGAATGAGGAGTATAAGCCGGTAAATGCACCGATTCTGATAGAGCTGCCGCTGTAGCGGCGTAGAAGTGATGACTGAGAAATTCGAGAGCATGCGAATGGCCATCGACATGTAAGGWCCCTTTCACGAGCCAATGCGGGAGCGCTCTGTAGCTATAACTATCACATGCAAAGACAAATCAAGGACTCTACCGCTAAWGCGTATCCTCAACTTGCCAGAGATCTCAACGCTTCAGCCTTCAACAACCTGCCTGACTCTTTGAGAGCCCTGACTATGAACACGAATTTCAAGTCAGAGCAGGAGGTGAACCCATTGCAACGGCCGCCAAGTCGATGATAAAGGAGGAACGTGCCATCCAGAGCAACAACGAATTCAACAGCGACTCGCATGGTCCAGCAGCTGCAGCCTCAGAATATATGGACACTTCACCACCATTGACTCCAGGATTTGGATCTGCGAGGCGCGGTCGAGCCGGATGTGATGATGAGCATGCCAATACCAAGCTTGCACAATCCAGCAATGCRAAGTTGGGCTATGCGATGTTTCATCCAATGGTGTGTCTGTGTAGGACAGGTCTGACCAGCAGAGGTACCAAGTTGTGAGGCATCTCATMGCCATAAGATGCGAACCTGGCGGGAGAGGGTCTCAGCGAGGCCGTCGATCCGATTGAGTGAGGTGAGGACGATCCGATTGAGTGAGGTGAGGAGTGGATGGGAGTGGACGCCAGCAAGACCATTGACCAGAGCGTCCTCCATACTGAGCTAATTGACCTGACAAGGCTATTGCTTTGGCCAGTCGTATTCGCGCTCCGATCCACATGACAATGCCCCTGATRTTCAGCCCTAAACCATGCGATGAAGCAGGAAAGTGATGCTCAGCCGTCTCAAAACCCGTCATTGCATTCATTTCGTAACGGAACTTTCCACTTCCACTTTATAGCAACCCCTTCCTTGCCAGCTCAACCTTTCTTGCAGCTTCTCCCGCTTTGAAGCCTCCTTTGCTGACACAGGCCATGCTTCCATCTCCAAATTCAATCTTGTCTTCAACGGCAGGGAAGGCGCACGGGCAGTGATGCGGGAAGTGTACGCAAGAGAGGGTGTGTGGGCAGAGATATTTGTCACAGCGCGCTGTAAAACCGTCAGAGACCGCAAATGGATGCTGTTGACGGCATGGAGCATACCCGATTCATAGTTTGTTTGATACCATTCGGAATCGGAAGCCATGTTTTGGGGTTCTTGTTGTTGCTGTTGGTTGAACATGTTGCCGAAATTGAAGAATTGTGACATTGCTGGCACGACCCAACAAAGTAGAAGAAGTGGTAGAGGAAGCATCGTTGCGAATGTCGAAAATGGTTTGGAGACTGTGAGGAAGTGGTGTAAAGTGAGGTTCATCGTTCACATGCCAGCTGTAATCAATCCGGCGCGTCAGATCGTCCCGCAACTTTAGAACATAAGAATGGCCCTGATTTTGACATTTTGGAAGAATTCTTGAAGCCTCAATCTCATAACCTCAGAACTGCATCACTCCTACTTTACAGCAACACAACAATCGATCATATCAATCGCCCGCCATGCATCTCATGTACACACTTGACTCCAAGGGCAACCGCCTGTACACCCTCCAAAAGGTCGCCGGGGGTGAGGTCACCAAGTCCGCACACCCGGCGCGATTCTCCCCAGACGACAAGTACTCAAGGTACCCATATTCTCATTCACCTTGACCCCGAACGCCAGGCTAATCATATCGTTTGCAGACATCGCGTCACACTCAAGAAGCGTTATGGCCTTCTCCTCACCCAGCAGAGTACGATTTCCCCCACCGGCGATGGACGACAACGAACGTATGGCTAACGGTGTAGCAGAGGATTTGAAGGTGCTTGGACAATAGAGCCCAACACAGAAGGCTTGCTTGTGATGGATTAGCGCGGAGTTGGGGGAGTGATTGATTGTTCAAATGCGCACATGAAGAGAGGAACCGACGAAAAGAACATGGTGATCTCTATGGATTCGGATACGGCCTTCAAAGAAGTTCTTGGTGCAAAGCCTGGCCGTCCCCTTCAGGAGGGTCTACTCATAACGTCGCCCAGTGGATCATCTGGACCTATTCACATTCCCCATTCTGTTCCTATCTGATCACCAATCCCCAGCACGGCATATGTGTGTACAGCGCCTAGCATTTCTGTGCAACGGTGACTGAAGGAATATCCGAAACTTGCCAAGATCGATCATTGCCATTTCATTACCAAACATGGACGCCGTTACTTCCGTCGGCGTTTGTGCATGAAGACGTGGTAACAGATATGAGTTCTAGAAGCTACCCTCTTTCCGGCCATCCCGAGGTCGACAACGAGAACGCCGTTGCTTCACGAGGCATCAACAGCGCCAAGATTTAATAAAAAGAAACATTTGTCGAAACTTCACAAGTTTTTACTCACCTGCATGCATCTTGTGCTATTCTGCGCACGCACAGTCACGAAAGCTCGCACTTGGAGGTGTCGATTGGCAGTAGACGAACGGATTCTTCAGCTCTAAGGAGCGATCAAGATCACGATGTATCAAACTAAAGCCTTTGCAACCAACATCCAAAGTTTCGCATCAACCATCGCGCCCTTGTCCTGTTCCAGTCCAACCTAAGGTCTGGGCTCCAGAGCGAACGGCTGTTACTCCACAAATAGCCAGGCTATATACAGGGACTCAGGAGTGGTTTAACGGTATCGACCAAAGTAACGCCAGGTACGATATCGCCGTTTTTCCCGACCCGTACATACGAGTGTAGGTAGCWCGTCTTATTGTAGCTGTGTTCATCTCTAGCTTGTGAATCGATGCGCTGGCAACGCCCGACATCTGTTGGTGACCTCCCACAAAGTAGGCAAAAGTGGGTCAAGGCATAGAGCACGCACGAGGACCATGTCCAGTTGAACAAGCATCTGAGCCGAAGCTGCGAAGCATTCGCCGCGAGTCTATTCATGGGCAACGGCGGCTTTGTGCAGACTCACCCGTCTCGAAGCTAGTTCTGTTCTGGGAAAACTAGRCCACAAAGGTTCGTGACGACACATCACTTTACTTGCCCGAACCACTGTTCATCATAACCGCAACTCCTCGATTCCAACAATACAAATGTCTCCCCACGTCGCTACAATAATACCATCAAGTTTCACATCACAAGTGCCTCCCAGGCACACTACCTCCCCGAGATAAGAGCGGCTTGACTCGCGCGTCTTGACGACGACCGCATCTTGCGATATCTTACCTGCAACAATTGAACTTCACTGTTCACACCCCACACACCGCGACCTCTGAACCTACACTCGACACTCCATGGCAGACGAATCAAGTCCAACGGCGAACACGCCTGTGCGCACGGGTGGAAATCAACGGACGCCTTCCGCTGCACAAGGCCAGCAGAAGCGCAGCAACCGAAACCGCAGGACCGCGAACAACCAGGCGAACGACGGGACCGTCTCAGATGGGGCGTTGGTAAAACCGACAGTGTCGCCGGACGCCCGCAGGACAAGGCAGAGTGTCGCGATGGGAGCCGTGCAAGGGCAACACACCAGCGGCAGGGCAAGCGCACAAAAGGCGAGGCCGGTGTCTGTTGGAGGCGCGAATTTGATTCCGAACAAATCTGCCGTGGAGCAAGCATATGCAGGTCCTACATTTCAAGCATCACCTGCCGCGTCTGCACTCCCTGTGCCCAAATTCTTCTCGAAATCGGTACCCAATGTAAGCGGACAACCGTCATTGCAGGGCAGACTGGCGGGCGAGAAGACACCAGAAGAGCAGTTCTCGTCGCCGGAGTCTGACAGGGCATCTCCTGCACCGATGCGCCAGACCCAATCCCCATTGGACTTCTTCTTCCAAGCGGACAGGGAGGAGAAAAAGAGAACACAGAGCGGGAGCCATTCGTATTCGCCTGAAGTTTCAACGCGCCCGCATCCCGCTACCGTGCCGCGAAATCTTTTCCAGCAAAGCAGCAGGAATGCTCTGCTGCGGGAGCTCGATGGCGACGACAATGACCTGCCTAGCCCACGGACAGTACCATCAAAAGGTCGACCGCCCTTCGCAGAGAGATCTCATTCTTCGCCAAGTGCACCCGTTCAGATGACAAGCGACGCAGATCGCCAAGCCTGTACAAATTCCTTGAAGAACCTCTTGTTCAATACAGGCTCCGCCTCTCCCACGGTTCCCTTCCAGCGGAAAGAGTCCGACTCATTCACGCCTGGTCGTGCTCCTGCTGGAAATTCTCCTTTTCAGCAGCAAACGTTTGCAGGACCCACCACGCCGCAAGCACAGATAGACCATCATAATAATTACCATTACGGCAACCGTAATCTTTCGCCTTTGTTCAAGGCTGCCCGAGACTCTGCATCTCGACCCTCTTCGCTGCGACAAGAAATGCTWYMA